TAGTAGTAAGGCCAGGAGCCCCTAGTAGCTTCTTGTCCATTTCATTCCATTTCCCACTTCACCAAATTATGCCGCTTCAACTGCTGAAAGGAGTCAAGTTGCCATCAACAAACGGGCAGGGCCGCACCTGGTGGTCATGTGATTGGTCACCTCGCCAATCGATCGCGATCGATGGGATTCCGACTTTGGACTCCCGTAGAAACCCACCCATCCACAGCCAGAATCGTTGATCTGGTAGTCTAAAACCCTCCGTAAAACGACGCGTGTTTCGTAAGACATCTAACAATATTGGTTGTTGGAATCCCAGTATAGTCAGCCACCTGAAACATGTGCCTAAGCTCATGTTGAGAAGTAAATCATCTCGAACACGAGGTGACCACTTGATGGAAAAAAAGGTTTGGCCTTGCTAAGACGGAAGGCAGACATGTGTTGTGTGAAGGCATGGAGTTGTTGTTTTTGCATGGTCCTGATGGTCGCCGCCGAGCGCAGCGCGGCACCAGCAACGAGTCCCATGCAACAAGGAATCCCAAGACATCACAAGACATACAGATTCAATGCGATTCGATAGGGTCCCGCATGGTCCTGCATGGTTCGAGTGTGACCGGGAGAAAGGCTTTCCAGTTTTGTATCCTCCAGGTGCCCCCAAGGGGTCTGGGATGATCTAAGCACAGGAGGATGCCTCTCAGCTCGGCACCACGGCCAGGAGTTCGTGGTGGGCGCCCAGCTGTCGTAAGGAGGCGGCTAAGTCCGCCAGGACCTGGCAGGAGTGAAGTGTAAGACGGAAGACCTCCCAGTCGGAAGGAAAATCGACTAACCCATTGGGCCAGGGGGTCGGGGGACCCACCTGGTTTGGTGTGGTTTGAGCTGGGCACTCAACGGATGAGCTAGGCAATCCTTCGGTGCCTGTTGGGTTCACTGGAAAACCAACAAGGTTGTTCCATGTTTCTCTCTTCCAATCCACTAGATGTTTCGGGACACATCAATTACAATTATGTGCCCATGACTGATCAAATACAGCTTCTTAGGCTTAGGTCGATGGAGATATCTTTCCTTTAGGATGACTCCGTCCGAAACAGAAACCCATGTCTTTCTCTATAGTAGTAATGGCCTCTAGCGATAACCTCCACCCTAGTAGCTTCTTGTTACGGGAGTGCTCAAGGAAGCTCGGTGCGGCTCTGTTTGCTCTCAAAACATCTGTGCAAAGTTCCTCGCCATGAGAACTGGGGGTGGTCGGCATTTCACGCATGCGCCAAACAAGAATGCCGGATGTAGCATCCGATGCAGCAGGATCAGCCAATTGAGCCAAATAGGCACATGTTCAGGCGAAATCAACAAGAATTGCTGGGAGAGACCCTGCAATTAACTGGAGAAGATATTGATATATTGAATATTGCATATCTGGCAGAATAAACATGTCAATCTTTGGTCGGCCTATATTCAATTGAAAGTTCTTCGTCTGGCATGGCTACCATTGCAATACTCCAACTGGTATTAATAGGTTCTTAGATGTTCCTGGAAACCATCTTTGGAATTCTATGGAATTGCGGAGGGTCCTCTGCTAGAAGAGTTTTCCCATTCATTGTTCAGATCGAATGATATTGGATGCCTCTCTAGCGCCTTCCCAAATGGATACATGATTGAGCTGGACTATCATACATGGACCAAGCGTAAGGAACCATGAAGGAACAATTCTTCAGAACCTGTGTTGCTCAAAGCACGTCAAACGAGTTCTCTCTGTGCTGACGTCTCTGTGCTGTTCCACCCACGTGTTCTCTCTTGTTTTAAGGGTATTCTGAAGAGTGGCGCCCCAAGCATGAAGTGCAGCGACCTTCAAAAATTAAAAAGCATGGCAAGCTACGAGAGAACCTCGCGCCGCACGCACCTGACACAAGAAACACATCATTCGGAGTCATCCTGAGGTAATCTAATTTCAGGTCAAGGGTTCAATATGGTTCATTATAATACACTCTAAAACATGGTTTGTTCCAAACCACTGGTCAGACTCCCAACAGGCCTTTGTCAGTATGGTTTTGTTTTCTCTACTTTTCCTAGAATTGTCTCCCAAACTGAAAGGACAGCGGGGAAACAAACCTGTCTTAATGCGGGAGAGAGTCTTTTGAATTGGAGGGGGCCTCTATACAAATAGAACATGATAGAAACAGTGGTATCATGACACTTAGGATTCCTTATAAGGGTCCCGAAGGGGGCAAATTTTGCCTGAGCTGCATGAATTGGACTCCCCCCGAACACTTAGTCTTTTGTTGAATCATTCTGTATTCAAACACCTAAAACCTCAGTCATCACTCTTGCGCGATGTTTTCACACCACCCAACATGCAACAACTGACAAGCGGTGCAGCCTCCGGGAGAAGCTCGATGTCTGATCGAGCGATACTTGGCGCATACACATATTCACCGCCCGGCAAAAAGTAAAATGTCCTAATATATTGAATGAAGCCAAGGTGAGTGATTGCAAGTACCGAGGGCTTCTTGTGGAGCCAGGTTAGGGTGGATGTAAATGGCTTCTGTTCCGGTCTGTCTCTGTGAAAATTGGAAATCGATGGACATCGGCATGGTTCATAGTGCGGATTGTACATGTTCATAGGATGCATACCTGGATCTTCAAGACAAGACTTGTTTGTGATGTTTCAATCATCCAGGTATGGATACATCGATTCCATCACCGGCGGGGTGGCTAGTTGACCGACTGATGTCACCGAACGAGAACATCAACGGTCGCACCAACGGTCGCAGAACGAGCGCGTTTTTCGGTCGGGGGCGCAGACTGATCCGGTCGATTTTTGGTCTCGAGAACGGACGAACCCCAACACGACAGGAGCCACGGTTCCGTCCTTCAGAGTTCGAGTCGGGATCCGCTGCTGCGGATCAACTTGAAGCAAACATCCCGCTGCTGCGGGGCCATGTATTGTTTGTTGAGCTCGGTTTTCAGAATTTGCTTACTTTACACGTCGAAGTCCGAAAATCATTGTCATTGAATCGCTCACCTAGCATTTCATTGCAACGGGACAGCAGCCATGAAAGATCCTGGGATGAACCACTCCTGCAAACCTTCAGCAGCAAACGTGCCAAGCAATGGTAACTTACCGCGACGTATTTCTGAAAAATCCAAACGTGGTCCATGTGGGTGTGGATTAGGAAGACCCCCAACAAAAAACCATGGGTTTTGTGTGTGTGTGTAGACAAATCCCCTATCACACACCCGATCAACTTTAAATGCTGAGCACGGCGGCTCAAATTGATTCCGTCACAACGATGCAAGAATCTCCGTCAACCATGTGTGTGTGTGTGTCTGAAGTCCTTGGATCCATGCTTTATTGCATTACAAATGCTTATACAAATAAAGGCATGCATGCCAAGACCTGCAGTGTCTCCAGTGAAATGTTGGTTCAACAGAAATCCAGCAAACATCAGCAAACACAAACACCACTTGATACCGTCACAAAACAAATATGTGTTCATCCATGTTCATCCACATACAACGTTATATCATACAAACAAGGAACACAGGCATGAGGTGCAACACCAATTTCTGGCCCTACCCAGCACTCTTCCGCAGCCAGTTCACCAGTTCACCCCATGTCACGCAGCACACCGGCCAACGAAGGCGGCTGTGCACGTCAAGCGTCGGACTTGTTGATTTCCAACCGAACAAGTCGAACGAGGGAAAGAGTCCAACCGCCTGAAGTCCGTACCTCCTCGTAACCAGAACTGGAGGGGTAGAAATGCCAACATCCGTCTCGGGTGCTTTCAGAACATTCTAAAGGCTGGAGGAATGTAGCAGTTTTTTGTAGGATCTAGGTTTCTCTGGAAGGATCTGGAAGGGTCCTTACTGTCTCGAAGAACCCCTAGCTGCGTAGCTAAACCGTGCAACCTTACAGCCTCAGCCTGATGCGCCAACACCTCTGAAATAGGACAGAGTTGTGTGGGATCACTTGGAGTTTGGGACAACAAGTGCTTCCTGTGGAGCCCTAATTTGCAAAGGGACCATGGACTGAGAATTCCAAGCTTTGAGCAAAGACCCCAACGACTTTCTACCCGCACGAAAAGAGTGTTGTGTGTGCGGTTTGGTTCGTCGTGTGTCAAACTACTGGGACCCTTGTCATTTTGGGGATGATTCTATATATATATATATATCAAGTATTCCCTTCTATATCTGTCCCTACCAGCCGTAAAGGTAAGGTCAATTATTGTTCACAGTTGCCGTTACCAGCTGCCATGGGCTGGTGGGATAGGGCTGCGTGTAATTGGGAGTAATTGTTTTAATCACCAACGTTATTTGAGCAGCCTACATCCACCAGTATTCCTTCAAATCAGAAAGTTTGGCTATGCGCCGAATGGAAACACCGGCTCTTGTGCGTTACGAGTCGAGTTAAAGATCATTCAATCAAGCATGTCACTATCGATCAAGATTTACATTTACATGTCATATATCTCACGAAATTTCACCGAGTTTGGGTCTCGTCGCTGATCGTTCCGCCGAAACCTTCAGGCGGCCCCGTCGTGCGCTGGCCCTGTGGTGCTCCACGGCCGACGTGGCGCTCCACAGAGATCGGACGGTCCAAGGTCCGAAGAGACGCAAACTTGGAGTGAAACAGGGACCGGTTGGAAAGCCCTGAATTGGCAGCTTTGGAATCTGAATATGTCGTCCACTCCAAAATGATCCCGTTCTCTTCCATCGGGAGTCTCGAGATTCTTCGCCTCTTCGCCTCTTCCACGTCACTGATCGATCGACGCAAAAAGCCGTCGCAAACACGTTGGCAGCTCGGCAGCGAGCTGCCACAACAGCGGGGGCAGCGAGCTCAGCATCGACGAAAGGTTCGACACGAAGAAAAGACTCGTTCATCATCGAGGACTGAAATCATCGCGTGTTGCCCCCGAACCAGTCCAGAATTCGAGGTGTCAACTTGTGTGTATGTGCAAAATAATACACATAAAAATCTAATATTCGTGTCATTTAGTGTCTCTTCTCATGGAAGATGATTGGTGATATCATTTCAGTCCTTTTGCACCGACCTGGGCACTGGAAAAAGGACGAAAAAGGTCAAGTTCCATCAAGGCTTTCACCTTCTACCTAGGACACCAAATTCTCACGCTAGGGCAATCACCCAATCTGTCCAACCAACCGAGGAGAAATCTCTTGATGAGCCGACAACATCTCTGGTCTTGTGGGGCTCCAACAGCCTGCCATCTGGCAGTTGAAGGGATCCAAATCGGAGTCTAAACCCCTCTTTTCAGGACGTCTTGTGAGTGCCGCAGTGGCCTGGTCTGGTGAGGAAAACCTATAAGTTGGGGTCCCTACGACCCAAACAACGACGTGAACTGGGAGAGAAAGCCCGGACGAGGTCCTCACGTCAGCAGCTATGTCTTCAGATGTCTTCAGATTCAGATGTCTTCAAGTGAACAAAACGGTGATTTTTCGTGATTTTACTGCTCGGTGATGCTCCACGGCCGGTGGAGCACAAACTGTTTCGTTCGATGGCGCCACTACGCCCACGCGCTGTGCCTCTGTGGCCGAACGTTCAGAACGCCCATGTCTTCTTGGGCTGAACGATCCAAAGATGCGGCAGGTTCTTCGCCCCAAAATCCAGAAATCGATTTGGACCACCTTGGAATCCCATGACTGCATGATACGACAGGACCCCTTTTTTCTGATACCTGCAAATGACAAGAAATACAGGACACCAAAAGGGAGATCCAGCTAGAGGAAAATTGCACATGACCCGATCATCAAAGGCAG